CCCCCTGCCAGGGGCTCCCTGCGCCGCCCGCGCCTCCCCTGCGCGCCCCGGCGCTGGCGGAGGCGCCCCGCGAAGCCGGGGGTGAGTCAAAGCGCCGACGTGTTCGCGCTTTTGCCAAAAGAGGGCACCCCCTTCGCTACAGGTCCCGCTGCAAAGTGTTTCCGCAACAAGTCGTTAAATCTTCCCTTCTCCAGCGGCGAACAATCAAAGGGAAAGGGGGGTCGGGAGACAGGTGCGGTTCTCCAAGTGCAGGATTACACGCAATTATCTCCAGTGGCAACGTGCTCGCTCCAAGCCTCCCAGAAAAATAACAGTTACTAGAGAAAGCAAAAACTCAGCAATATCCAGCACTTCAGTGTTGAAGTCTGATTTAAAATCATTAAGGGTTAAATTCAGCTCTGTAAACTCTGTCAGTTTATAAATGCTTTTTTTTCAGTGAAATGCAAATCAAATGAATTTTATCTTTAAGAGTAGCTTAATCAAGCCTTACTACAACACCCAGTGCTTTCATTTTGCATGAATTATGTTGCACTTAAAGCCCAGTAGCAACTCATATTTACAAATCTTAGTGGCAGATAATCACACACTAGATATGAAACTCATCCATCATCTCAGCACCCAAAATGTATTTGTGTGTTGGATACTGCTGAAGCCCTTGCCACAGACTGAGGATTCCCACAGAGCTACCCCACAACCACCAGGACACCCCACAGCAAGGGGAGACTCAGGCTGCCCGTTTGCTTTCCTGTTAATTGTACACCACGGTGCAGAATTTTATTCTCTTTATTCTTCCTCACCATCCATGTGGCAATTAAAAATTGCAGAGGTGAAAGACATTAATTGGACACAAAGAAGATGCTGCCATACTCTGGACCAAGTGCAAAAGAGAACCCGTGCTTCCATAAAAACACACTGGTGTAGCTTTAAAAATTGAGAGGAAAACAAACCATTCTTCCCTGCAAGTCATGGCCAAGCAGAGAGAACACGGGTCAAAAAGCAACGCTCTCCCAGCCCTCTGATTACCCAAAGCATGATCCAAGGACAACCACCCCTAAAATAATAGGAAAGACTCGGTATTTAAGTGAGAAATAAGTCACTTTTGTGCGGGTTTTACAATACAGAGGGGCCACCACATTATTACAGACAGGAAGCACTGGCACAGGTCTCAAAGGCAGAGGTAACTACAGTCATTAGGCATCAAAAACTGCAAATTCCCTTAATTTGTCCACTGTAATCTCTGCCAACTAAAATATTACAAAAGGCACAATGTGATTTAATGTGTCCAAAAGGTGCAGCCAGGTCCAAGCCCATGCTCCCTATTTAGGGATGGAGGGAATGTGAGGCTGGAGGGAGGAAAATCCTTAAGAGAAAATGAAAAAAGAGCTGACACTTAAAACAATAAAAGGTACCATCTGTGTGAAAACCCCTCTGTCTCTTCCCTTGTTTATTTCTTTAATTTCATTATTTGACTCCTGTGTTTAAAGATGTTTATTTTAAATAACACATCCCTGTAAAAAAGTCACTGCTTCCATTGCTCTGGGACAACTTGAGAATGCAAAGAACACAGAAGGTAAAGATGCAGCTGATTATCCAGAAAGCTGGGCTGAATCACCTGTGTCTGATGTCACACTGCACTGTGCAATGTATAAAATTCACCTGTGTTATCTCCTACTAGGCACTTTACTTCCCAAAAGGCACATTCCACTGGCAATAGGGCTAGGAGTCAAGTGTTTCCTCCTGCAGAAAATACCTTTCAACACAACATAATTCTATATTGCTTCACAGCACAGTGAAACATTCACTTACTCGATTACCAGGCCTTGAAATCAATAAGTGTTTTCAGAAATACTGTGTACTTACTGGCATAACACAAGTTAGTTTTTATAGTTTTGGGGAGGAGAAAAGAATCAAATGTCTTGTCAACACATAAATTAACAAAAAAAAATCCAAATTAACATATTGTGAGCCTGAACTCTCAATAAACTACCATTAATCTCAATATATTTATTTGTGCTAGTATGTCAGGACAAGTCATCTCCACAAGCCACACCTCAGCAGCACCAGCACACAGGGCCACCATGTTTGCAGATGCCAACACTGAGTGTTGGACAGAGGGGTGGACTGAGAATTGGCTGGATGGCAGAGTCCAGAGGGTGGTTATAAATGGGGCTGAGTCAGGTTGGAGGCCTGTGGCCAGCGGTGTCCCGCAGGGGCCAGTACTGGGCCCGGTGCTCTTCAACTTGTTCATCAGTGGACACAGTGCTCCCTCAGCAAGTTTGCAGATGACACCAAACTGGGAGGAGTGGCCAACACTCCCAAGGGCTGCGCTGCCATTCAGAGAGACATGGACAGGATGGAGAGTTGGGCAGAGAAGAACCTCATGAGGTTCAACAAGGACAAGTGCTGAGTCCTACATCTGGGGAGGAATAACCCCAGGCCCCAGTACAGGTAAAGGGCTGACCTGCTGGAAAGCAGCTCTACAGACAGGGAGTCCTGGTTGACAACAGGTTAAACACGAGTCAGCAATGTGCTCTTGTGGTCAAGAAGGCCAATGAGATCCTGGCCTGCATGAGGAGGAGCATTGCCAGCAGGTGGATGGAGGCGATCCTGCCCCTCTACTCAGCTCTGGTGAGGCCGCACCTGAAGTATTGGGTGCAGTTCTGGGCTCCCCAGTGCAAGAGGGACATGAAGAGGGTCCAACACAGGGCCACAAAGATGATTAAAGGACTGGAGCATCCATCAGATGGGGAGAGACTAAGTGAGCTTGGCCTGTTTAGCTTAGAGAAGATTGAGAAGGGATCTTACCAACATGTACAAATACCTGAGGAGAGAATGTAAAGAGTATGGGGCCAAGCTCTTCTCTGTGGCAGCCAGTGACAGAACAAGGGGTAATGGCTAAAAATTGAAACAAGGAAGTTCCACCTCATGTGAGGAAGAACTTCTTTACTGTGAGGGTGACAGAGCACTGGAACAGGCTGCCTAGAGAGGCTGTAGAGTCTCCTTCTCTGGAGATCTTCCAAACCCACCTGGATGCTCCCCCATGCCATGTGCTCTAGGTGTCCCTGCTTGAACAGGGGGAATGGACTAGATGATCTCTAGAGGTCCTTTCCAACCTCAACCCTTCTGAGATTCTGTGAGTGACAAGAAAAAGCAGTGGTGCTGAGGTTTAGAACAATTGCAAAGAGTACAGAAAAACCTCTTGAATTTACTAGTTCTGTTTCTATTGTTAACTATATTATACTACATATATAGTAAATTACTGTATAGTATCACCCTGAATCACCCAATTACCCTTTCAGTTGGGTAGGAGTAAGTTGTCCATTTTCTCCTTTGCTTTTCATAGGTTCACTTCTGCAATGTAAGGATGCCTACATTTCTCCAGACAAAATTCTGACAAAAGATCACATATGGCTTACCTAGTTACCAGAATTACATGAAATGCAAATGAAAACAGCAATACTGTAAAGTAATGACATGTAACAAACAGGAGCATGAAAAATGGAATTTTAAAGTACATGGCACAAGAGGTTCTAAATTTGTACTCCAACATGTTGGGAACATACTTAAGGTTACCCTGGCACCCGAGAGGCTGCATATCTTAATGCCTGTAGAAACCTTTCATCAACAGCATTTTCTTGCTGCTGGGAGCTTTCAGAACAGACCTAATACATCTAGTACAAGCCCAGCTGTGCTGGAGTTCTGTTTTGGCTAGACTGCAAAAGGCAGTTACTAGCCTGGAACTTTAGCATCTTTAGTCAGCTTCTTTATAAGAAGTTTTCCTTATGTTCTGGAAGAGCAGAAGTTTAAATAGAACTACAGGCATACTATTTAAACCAAGCCCAACCTTTGAGATTAGTCACCTCGTCCACACATTGCTAAGCAAGCCAAACTAACAGCCTCTATTCTTTCCTTCCAACTCTACCACCAAGCCACAAGCTTATACCATAGTAAAAGTTGCTTGAGGTCACAGCTCTATGCTGAAAAATTTCTCAAGTTTTCTAGCAGAATGAATCATTTATTTGTTCCCACAATGGACTTTGGAATCATCTGTTGATGATCTGTAGATTGGATTAATCCTAAGTGCTGGAGAACTGAAATAAACCCATGCTAAGTTCCTGTAGACTGAAAAATTCCAATTGGAATTCAAGCACAAATGCCTGTCAGTCAGTCAAACCACTCTTTGCATAACCAGAAGTGTTCATATATGTAACAGCAATAAAAAAACAATATCCCTTAAATTCATGATACCTAACTGGTAGCCTACCTTTCAGGAGTCCTAAAGTGTGTGGGGTTTTTTTTCTGCTCATATGAAGGCATTTGTATACTCAGAACTCTCACAGACTGAACCATGAAAATAAAGCAAGAAAATGCTCTGTTAAAAAAAAGAATATAACAATAGCTATGAAGTTGTTAATCATTTCTCAGTTTTCAGAGCACACTCCTCCATTTACCAGACACTGTCCTGGATCCCCATCTCTTCAAGCTCATCAGAGACACACTGCATACAGTAAATTATTCTAAATAGTAAAGATTATGCTTATGGAATTGAGGAGAAAGAATCAATCTTCCAGTCTGTTCCAGACATCCTAACAGCACCCTGCCCTCACTCTGCTTGCTTTGTGCAAAGTTCTCAAAACCACATAAAGTTATAGGTAATAGTAATAATTAGTAATTAGTAATAATTACAGGGACCACCTCTAAGTTGCCAACACTAACTAAAAACTGAACAACACAAGTTACTGGTGTTTGCTGTGAATAAAAAGTGTTACAGGCAACACTATCTAGCTCTATGCTCTGTAAAAAAGGTTAAATAAAGCTTCCTTCCCAAGCATAATCCAAAGTCATAACCTTTTCAATTTGAAATCAGCTCAAAGCTGCAGAGAAATTAATGTAGAACTACTTAACTGGGCATAAAAGTAAATAATACGAAGGACAGAAAAGCAGCAATACTTTTTAATGTTGCTCTGGTGATTGGTATATGACAACGTTGGAAAAAAGAACTACTACTCCTTTCTAGATAGAGGCTGACAATTTTATGAAGACCTACCTTTCTGAAGTAACTTCTGAACATTAAGCATTAGGCAGAAGGACACTCCCAGTGTACTCCAAACCATCTTAGAAAGTGAGACTGCAAAAAGACAGACATGGCACTGGGACAGTTACCTAGTCATACTATTTAGGAACTAGAAGGAAGTATGAATAAGACATTGGATTGTACAAAAAGACTTTCAGACTACAGGATCAAACATCCTCTAAGCACTGTTGAAGACCACTTTTCAAGACCCAAGTCCATCCACTTGAACTGTTTTGGACAGGACTTGGATGTCTGCTGCAGGAGACAAAAAAAAAGTTTGAAATAATTGATGTGACAAACTGCAAGAAGCCAAAACAACAAATACCATCAGATCTTGTATGAGAAGTGATAATTACCATAGCAAAGGTTCAATTCAATTGGAAATGTACACACACTTAGAAAATAAAACAAGATATATGAACAAGAATGACTTTATTTGTACTTTAAATTTTACATTAGAAAAACTTTTATTAGAGCTAGCAGGCCTAAACAGTAAATTTTAAAGCATAGCTAAAAATGCAGAGGGAACCTCTGAAAACAGTCTATACACATTTTATCCTTGCAAAGTATATTGGCAGCCACAGTAAGAAAAAACATACAAAAGATTTAAAAATGCAGTGTTATGAGTTATTATAGAACAGGGCCAGATTCTTCAAAAATCTCCACAATATCAATATTTAAGTAATTCTTCCAAAGAATAGTTAGCCATTATAGCTTAAAAACAGAAATAAGTAGTCTCACATCTAGTGTGGAAGGCTCAGTATCAGTAGGTGAAGTATCACAGAAGACTGGAAGTCCTCACGATGGAACCCACATATTTCCATGGGTATCAGGGGCATTGGTGTAAGGAATATTCCAAATCCACGGGCGATCTGCAAAGCAAACCAGAAACATGCTCATGAAAGATTCATTATTAATTATGAAATTTCAATCTTCTTACTTAGAGCTCCCACTGGTTATAGTGCTCTATGTACAATTTCAGCTTACAGAAAATACTTAGTTCTTGTTTTTCTAAATATAAGATTTAATTATAGATTTGCTATAAAAGGCTTTGCTTTTCCCCCAAGGGTTATTTTAAATGTAAATATCACAACATAACCTCATTGCCCCAGCTGCAGAAGTTTATTTCAGACAGAATACAAGAACTGCAATGCAACCAAATTTGCTTTGGCCCAAAGGCACCAAGTTTCATGCTGCATCCCTCAACAGAATTATAAGAGTTACAGTATTTTTTTTTTTCCTCTCCACAGGGACAGAAAGAGCTCAGTATATAAGAAAGTCCTTCCACAAACTCAGAAATGTTTGAGTTACTCAATTCTCCCAACATTAACATCTTTAGATGAGCAATGGGTTTGCAGCAGATGGTTCCCTCCCTCCATTTCTACAAGCACAGAAGCTATTCCTACTTTCACACTCTTGGAAAGCAGAAAAGGCAAAGCAGCAGGAGCTTACTGATAGCTTAGCAGCCTACTCTAGGCTCTTCCTCCCACCATATACATGTGGCAGAAAATCAGCTTGTTTAGGAAGCCAAAATATTATTCTACCTCTCAGGCTACTGATAAAAAGAAAAAAAAATATCTTGATTCCTTTCAGAATAATCTGTCTCAAAGAAGTTTACATAGATGTAGCCTCTAGCCTGATTCATTTCTCTGTCTACAAAATGTGCCCAGAAGGAAGACAGTAACACTTATCTGCACCAGACATAGGTTCAACTGAAGTTACTGAAGATGCCAGTACTTCATCTATCAAAACAAGGCTCTTCTATACATGATAAACATTTACATCAGTGAAGACTTGGTATAGGCTTATCAACCTAGCTTTTAGGTAATCTATTGATTATGGCTATTACTGCACAAATTACAAGTCTATGAGATCCAATACCAGTTTTCACAAAATATGAAGTGAGAATTGCTGGTAGGGACAATAGGAGTAAACAAGTGACAGGAGCAGTAACAGAGGGACTACCTTCAACACAGAACACACTTGGTGACAAATGCCAAGGCAACTAACCATATGGCTGGGACAGCCTTTGCACAGAGCACTTTTTCACAGGCTGCTGGAGCAAGCTCAATTCTAGCATAGTTCTATATGGTGCAGCAAAACATCCCCCAGCCACAGAAGTCTTTTACAAATATATTCATTTATATATGAAGGTAAGACAGAATAAGAGCTTTTAAATTACAACAATATTCAATCTGCTTGACATGGAGAAAAGCGTCTATGTTTAGATTTCATCAAGACTGATGGGGAAGTTACAAGTCCCAGAGCATAATCACCAGAAAAAGCACAGCCTACACAACAAATGCCATCGTTCACAGTGTTATGAAAGGACACCAAACAATACAAGCATCTCTTCCCCCTGGTTTAAAACCATGATATAGTTTCTGGATGAAATAAATAGTTGTCTGGCTCTTGGTAACCCTAGATAGCTGATTTTCAGGCACAAAAAAATAAGCAGCTTCGGAAAGCTGTTGAAACCTAACATCCAATTGACACTGCACTGCCCCAAACTCTCTGATCAGGTTTCTGAGATATTTACACCAAGTGATCCCTAAAAGAAAGTAGCACCTTTATCTGTTAGCTTCTTTCATCTGCCTCTTGTCCAAAAGCTCTGTGTGCCATTTGTGTTTTATGTGAATACCATCCCATATAGCGTGTATCACCTTTCCATCAAGCCCACTATAGCAAACAAACCCTGAAATTAAGACCAGAAGTCTGGACACAGAATAAACCTAATGGTGGAAGCAGCATTAAGGCCTCCATGTATTCAAATCTGATTATTGAACTCTATGCATGACATCAGAATAAGCCCAGTCCCACTTCAAGCATTGAAACCTGGGATCAGGAATACATTCTGCAGCTCAGGCCTATCCATCTTCACTATAGTTTGTAGTTTTTCTGTTTAATTCAGCAGAAAACAGTCAGAGGGAGACTTTGAGGTACAGAAATAACATAAGCTGTCTTAAAGCACTCCAAGAGGCTTCAGTGTCTAATATTCAATTATTGAGTTCTATTTTATTGTGCCAAGGCTAAAAAAATACTTTTTCCTTCAAGATAGCTATCAATGTATTTGGAAGTTAGTTCTATTAATGGGGTGTTATTGGCTGTATAAAAACATCTGATGCTACTATAACAACATATGTATAAAATTATGACTGAAACAAATTAAAATTCTGTTTAGAAGACATCAGTTGAGGCTTCCTGGATAAAGTGGTTGCCATATTTGAAAAGCACAGCCTGCCACCTCCACATACACACTTAGAGTTATAAATCATCCTGTCCCCTTTGTGCAGCTCTGGGCTTTGGAAATTCACCAGTTGGTGAAAGAAGTTTTCTGCTGGAATGGAAACTGAACTCCAAGACAGGGATTGAGCTATTGGAGGAACTGGTAGCAGAATGGCTCATATACCTGTATATGTCATCATTACAATTTAAAAGCAGGATTTGCTTTGTGTTTTCAAAGTGTTGATGTGATGACGAAAGCCCTTTGCAGTTCTGTCAGACCTTGCCCAAAATATGCTAAAAACTTAGTGACTATGTATTCAACTTCCTCTTGGTACAGCAGATGAGTTCCTTTATCAATAAAGTTAATAGTTAAAAATCACAAATTGTGTGATGCAGTGAGCAGCTTGTTCTTTTGCCAGTACTAAGAACTGCAGCTACATCCATTTTTGTAATGTGAGCCTGTTGAAAGAAACTTCTCCATGGAGTGAAACCAGAATGACATGAGAATTAACTCTCCACGAAACACTGCACTTTTGCAGCATCAGGCCAACCTGTATAGGCAAGAGATGTCACCTCTCTATTGCTAGTACACAATGGAGCTACAGGGAGAGAACTTCATATGGTAAAAAGTGGTCATCTGAAAAATTATAACGGGAAATAAAAATCTAAGTATTACTAGCAAAACACAAGGTGTTTTAATTACGAATACACAGTTAAGATAGACTGTCGCCTCCATATTTTCCAAATACTAGGCTGAATCATTATTTGTTTTACTTATAAAAACTCTGGAATTACATACTCGATCCACAGATTTTGAAAGGCTTTCTCATCTTACTACTACCAATATGAACATTCAGATTTTTCTATAGCTATCTGTCAAGATACTAAACGATCTATCATCTACCAGTTAAATTATTTTCCTAAGCTCCACAAGTGCTCTGGATATCTACTGCCCTCAAATAGGTTTCTACTGTTGTACATAGTAGTAATTTGCCAAGAGTTTAACACATACAAGCTGTATAAAACAAATGTTATCTGCTAAAATATTAATAAGGCTCTTTGTCACTTCAGAGTAGGAATGATCTTCATCTTTGTTTCAAAAGTGCCAAATGTGAAATGTGCATGCTATTCCCTGCAGCGAGACGCAGAATACAGATATCATGCATAATAAAACTAGCTTCTTCCTGCAACTCCATTTCTCTGATTTTGTGCTGGTAATTTAAAACAGTTTGAAAGAAATAGCTTAAAAGACAACATACAGATTTTATGTGCAACCTTAATTTTGATGCCTTAAAATAACACTTATTGTCCCACTTCCTAAGACTTCTGCTGAAGGCAAAGAAACCACATGCAAGATGTGCAAAAAAAAATTGTGCATCTTACACTGTTCTGGAAAAGAATAGGAAAAATAGAGTGCTTTAATACTGCTGAGCTGACTGTTGAAATGAAATATTAAGGGTGAATTTGCCATCTCACAATGCCCCCAGTCTAGTAAGTTAAGTATTTCCTATTAGAAATATTAGTATTCCTAGAAACAGAACAGGTTTTGTCATCTCTCCAGAAGAAAGGATGTTCTCTTAGGGTTTGTACCATATTAAGCAGCCTGAGAGGACTTGAGTTCTCCAGTAATTCAAATATGACACTCAAGTTCTTTCCAACTTTAGAAAGTAGACAAGTTCCATGTAGCTATGTATTATCAAGTAGAGAAAAAAGGGAAGTTACTTAAAAATGACTTGCCCAGTGACATCTTCCAGAATTTTAATTCCTCCACAAGTATATTAATTACATAGTAGAAGATGTAGAAGATTCTAGTACTTTTACTCTTCTTTCAAAGGAGAAAGAAAGGCAGAGACAAAGGGCAGGCCCATTTCCCCGGGGCTTTTCTGACCTCCCAAAGATATAGCAGGCCCCTGTAGAGGAGTTCATGGTAATAAAAGATTCCTTTAGCTTAGCTGGAACGAACTCTAATCTCTTTTTAGGCACTCTGCACTAGGAAAGATAAAAGAGTTATCCCAAGTCTTTAAGATTTTTTTTTTCCAGTTATAGACAAAATCAAGTATCTGAGTAGAGCAGAACTGGAGACAAGCTTGCAACAGTTTTTCCTATTTTAGTCAAAAAAATCAAAGTGGTGTTTGGTGTTAAGTTACTAGTTTCCAAAAATCACTACAAATGTCTCCTAAATGTAATTTTACCATATGCCCAATTCCAAGCGATTGAAAAACTGGACAGAATAACAAGCACTAAATATCTGAAATCTGAAAGGAAAAAGTCAATTTGTTCATGGCAGTCTGGAAATGAAATGCTGAACAGTGACCAGGGTTTTTCACAAGGGAGAGATCTGTTCACATGAGATGTCACAGATCCTTCTGTACATCCTTGAACTGAAATAGTTCCTGTCACAGACTGCAAACATTAGCTAGCATGTAACTAATAAATTGCTAAGTGAGCTACTCATTTTTTCCAAAAGGCTTTAACTTGTATTAAAGCAAATTTCCATCTTATTTGCCTATTGTTCTTCAAGTCTCTCATGGCATGGGATTAGACAGCTTTATCCCACAGTTATTAAGGGTAAAATCGATTTCCACTGGGAAATAATGAAATGCATTTTAATACATTTTCAGATATTGTTAGAGTGGCTGAGGAAAAGTCCTCTACAAAAGGGAAATAACTAAAGCCTACCACAGTTCATATACAACAGTTATATATAGTATATGCAGCTCCACTCTAAGTACATCTAAACTGAGCTGGAGCCTTTCTTGACTTCTTTTATGAAGATACATTTTCTGTATGCTATTAGTCAGCTAAACAGCCAGTGTAAAGGCATGCACTGTAGAGAAAGCTGAACTGGAAGTAACTGATTAATCAGAAGCTACTTGGCCCCTACTTTATAGGTGTTCCCCCTTTCTTCCCCACAGGGTTTCAACAGTTCCTGAACATTTCTTAAACTAACAGCTTAGAAAATGCTTATATGAATTCCTAGCTTGTAACCCAGTCACCATTTAAAATACCACTCAAATGTACACTAGCTCATCCCTTTCTCAATAGCACTGTAAGAAAGTTGTATGAAACATGCACAAGATTAATAAACCTGAAGTCTGGCAGACTTAACACAGAGAAACTGTTGCAGAAATGTTTCTTCTGCTGGTGTCCTCCTAAAAGAGGAGGGCCACTAAAACCAAATTCTAATGGCACTTAAGCATATCTATAAAATTAAGGGTAATTCATTAGGAAAAACAGAACAAGCAGCCCAAAATACTAAAGCTTACTATAATAGAGCATGAAACACAGATTCATTGAGCTAATTAAGTTTATAACCTCAATTTTCTAACATTTTTCAGGTCCAAAAAACAATTTCTCAAGCTTATCCTCTCTTCCCCCAACAAGATGTTATCCTATGTATTTAAAATCAGGCACTGGACTTGATACTAAACATCTGATGTGATTGCTCTGACAGACATCTTAAACTTCTCACCTTGACTTGAGGGGATTATACTACTGCCAACAACTGCTTTTCAGACAGATTTTAATGTTATTGCATCTTCCCTGGAGACTAATTTAAGCACTTCAGTTGGCATGATCAGGTGGAATTTACCTGCACATGTATGATAAAACAGCCTTGTAGGACAGTAAATAGGAGACAAAAATTAGAAATACAACTGCAAGATATGTGAAAGCCACAGGAAGATATTAAATATGCTACATGCACAGAGGGGATAAAATATCATTACCATATCAGAAGCATCTTAAAGGACATCACATATCTTTCAGCAAGTAAAGCAACAGCTTAGCCTACAACTATTTCAGTGGAGGATAACCCCTCTTTCTGTGAGGAAAGTAAAACCAAGAAGTTGTCTGTCAACAACATCAATTTGTATTGTTTAAAATTTGGGAAGGAAAAAAAGGAAGAGGGAACAAAGCCCTAAATTACTCCTCAAGAGATTATATCTTTCTGTTTTGCTTAGATCTAGGATTTAGAATGAAATCCACTAACTCATGAGCCTACAGGCAAAGGTCTCATTTTTTCTCCCTGCTGTATGATGTAAATAAAAAATAGGTCTGGGACCAAATTATTTCACTGTTATTGAACTTAAACTTTAAGAGTTGTTGGATCAAATCCATGAATTATGATCAAAATCAGATAGACTATTTACATTATTTATTAATGAACTTTACACTATCTGCTGAAAAGTTTTTTTTTTTATTGCTTTTCAAGATATAATTATTTCCCTGTACCAGTTTTCACTTTGGAGCCCAGGTCCAATCTGATTAATAGCAGCTAACACAACAGATAAAGGCACTGTCACAGGATAACAAAGAACCTGCTCAAGTAAAAGCATTTCCACAAATTAAGGACCAGCTTTTCTTTCACTTTGTCTTTTACCATTTCACGTGCAATCTAGACTGTTACAATGAGTGGGTCTCATCTAAGATTTGAATTTGCACAGGAAAGACGATATATTTTGGTATAGCTACCTTCTACTTAGAACATTACACAGCAAACATACGGTCCTTTTCTGACCATCTGTTCCTCATTCTCTCAATTTCTTTTGCATCCTTGCTGCAGAAAGGGATTTTCTGATTATATGAAAATGATGTGCTGCTTGTTTTCCCATGTTTAAAAAATCTGAGTTCATGGAAAATCTCCCGGAGCATTTTTTCCTTCGATTATGGGAATCAGTCAATATGGTTTCTTTAGGGAAAGGATAATTACTTGTATTTCTGCTTCTCAAGACTTTATTAAAATGAATCTATTTATATCTCTTTCTAGATGCTTAGGGAGTTGATCACCACACTGTTAAGGATAGATTATTTTATGATGACCCCATCCTGTAGCAGAGGCATTCTTTAAACATCTTTTCCACCAGGAGGCTTAGAAACAGAAAGAGAATATTCAGTAAAGATGTGGAAAGGTACAGGTAGCTGGTATCACTTCCATTGAATTCTATTCAATTCTATTCTTTTCAAATGCTGAATTCTGTCATTTTTATGGGAGAAAGCACAGACAAAAGCTGAGCTACTGACAAACTCTTTCTACAAAGAAGCTTCATACAAAAAGGAAAGGGGAAGGGAAAAAAGCATCTTTCATATGTATTTTGACCAAACAATGTCAGTGATGCATTAGGTAAAAGTGTCAGATTTAAAACAGAACCAACATTCATTGTTTAACTAAATCTTAGCAGGAAGACTGCGTGCAGTAGCCTTGAGAATACACACATATGCATTCTTAGTCTCAGTTTTGTGTTTTTGGAAATTTTAAAACACAGTATGACATTTTAGAATAACCTTTCAAAAAGCATTAGGTTGGGCAATAGCTACCAACCAGACATCAGTGCTTACATATCCCGGAATACACAGTCACAAGGACTAACGTATGGCAGTACATGAGGATTCATCCACAAGTGCAGACATTCACAGCACACACTGGAACATCGGTTAGTGTGTGATCACTTACAATATATTCCTAAGAATTGAAAGCCAACTCAATGGTAGTAACACATTCTTCATCTAATTTTCAAGTAATCCAAACAGAATAAACCAACCCCTCCCTCCAAACACTAGTTATCTTAATAAAAATATTTGTTCACCTCTCAGTATTCTAGAAAGTTGACCTATAAAAGTATGTAATTAAAGTATATATTTGGTGCAGAGCAGATTAAGGTGTGAGCTCATATTTCTACAGAATATTTCATGACAGCCGTCATTGCTGAGATACCAAGAACTAAATGATAAATCCCAGCTATTAGGCCTGACTCACTGCAGTCCCAGTTGGTGACCCACAGTTTTCTTGCAGAACCATCAATACTTCTGCCTGTTGATCACACTACAGAGGATGCACAAGTGCTCTTCAGCATCCTACCACTTCCATCTGAATCACCTTATACCTAACTGCTACGATCTGTACAACCCCAACAATTTAATAACATGCCCAGGTATTCCTACAGAGGCTATTCAGAAACAGGCAAAAATTTTAAAGGTTGGGCCTTACGTGACTGCAACAAAAGCAAAATGACAAAGGTAAAGCCCATTATCGAGAACAGTTGTTTATTTTATCTAGAAAATTCATCAGGAACTTAAAGAAAAAGCAAATCAGGGGACACTGATGTGCTTCTACATACAGACAACAGGTTTCAAGCCATCAAGGGACTCACAGATATAGTAATAATAGCACTTACAATTTTGGTCAGTTAGCAAATAGTTTTCCAGGAGCAGCTTTCTTCTGGTTCAGTAAATCTACAACAGTCTTCATCACCGAATATCATACTTTGTCTTAAACAAGTCCTTGTTACTTATGTACTGGAATTCTGATACATTAAGGTGATGGTTGGTCTATTTTCTTCCTAGCTTTCTAATGTTCTCTCTCCTCATGTAATTTGTTAGCTCAAAAGCTCACAGAAAGACTTACTTTGCCATAAATAGTAATTTTAGCATACTCCTTATTAATCTTTACCATTTCAAGCTCTGCAACAAAAGATACTTTTTAAGTTCGTAACATCGAAAACAAAAGGAAAGAGGCTGCAGAGGCTACTTACTACCCTCTCCCAAATATTAGATACAAAAATATTACTTGCCAAATTTTTCAGATTGAGCATTATTCTCACCCCAAAATGATTTTTGTCTGTAAATTGTCACATTGCAAAAGCACCCACATATCACTTAGTTTTTCTGTTCTTGAGAGAGTCTCAGAAACTTAGAAGATAGAGATGTTGCAAAGTGTTTTGAGTACTAGGCAACAGGTCCTCCCCTCCACCCCCAAGGATTTCAACAGTAAAAGAAACCCTGAAGAATGAAATATAGAATGGACTAAAAAGCAGCTGATACTCAAAGTCTTTTTCTGTAGAACTAATTTAATTCATTGGTGGGCAGACTTGTGAGTAACCTTAAAGTCAGAGAAGAAACCCCTGGAAATGAAACGTATGACAGAAATATTCAAGGAAAATGTGAAGTTAGGGACACTGCTACAAATCAAAAGAAATCTATTTTCCTAATGTATAACATGATTACAGAGGAGAAGTAAAAAAAGAGTATTTAGCTTGTTGACCCAAAACCTAAATTACAATAAAGCAAAATTAGAGTCCAAATACTCTGTAATTGCTTACTTTAAAGCCACCAGCAAAACATGGGAGCGATATCACAAGCACAAAGTCAAACCAAAAATGTTAAAATTAAGTTCTGGAACATAAGTGTTCAAACAGCTTGTAAAGTTACTCAGAATAATTTGCTCTAAAGCAAATAAAAAGTATTATGCTAGAGAGGCTGTGGAGTCTCCTTCTCTGGAGATCTTCAAGGTCCGCCTGGATGCAGCCCTGTGCCACGTGCTCTAGGTGACCCTGAGTGTGCAGGGGGTTGAACTAGATGATCCCTAGAGGTTCTGTCCAACCTTAAGGATTCTATGATTCTATGATATTATATACATATAACATGTATATGTTATATACATTATATAATACTATGCAGGCTACTTCTATAAAAGTATGGAATACATATGCATGTTTAACTTTCCCAAGTCACACCTTACCTTTGCTTCCGTACTGTTCTGGGGGCAGGTCATAAGGTACAGGAAAAGATGTCACCGGATCTTTACTCTCCGAATGCAGCTTGCCTTGTACATGGAAATAACCTTTGTCCAAACCCTTTAGGGGAAGGGCAACATAAAGAAGGAAAGAACTTATTAGTTTGTACGGCAAAGGTGGGCTGAAACCTAGTTCACTGTGCATATTTGCTCAACAAGAGCTATTTCCTTACCGAGGTGGCCCTGTACTTCCTAAAGCATCTTTCCATCTTAAGATTTCAGCCTCGCTTATTGCTACTACTTCAGACTTCCACGTTTGCTGGTTTGCCCCATAGGAAGGGCCATACCAAACATGTTCTACCTTCCCAGTCCTGCCTTACACATCTGCCCATCTACTTCCCCATTCAGATGGCAGCCTCACTTGCGGCCTGGCCTCCGTGAGCAGCAGACGTGAGCAAAACACCACATGAGCACAGGGCCCAACTGCTCAGAGAAGCCAGAAGAGCATTCCTGAGATCTTCACTGGTACCACACAGGCAGCGTATCCCAGCACAGTGAACCATGGCTTTTTGGCATAAACACTTAGGGACACTGGAATCGAATTTTGACTATTAAACATAAACTGTTTAGCATTTAACTAATAGGAAAAGCTTAAAAAACTCCTCATTGTTCGATTTTATCTTGACTATATTACATGTAAAGTGTGTTTTGTTAACCGAATTAAAACTTCTTGCACAAGCAAATTTTCAAAGCATGCTTTTCAGATAATTTGGGTAAAGCCATGTATACAAAAAGATTCATAAATTCAAGTAGTTTCAAATCATAGTTTGATAGCAAGTTTCAAAAAGTAAAAGTTAAGGACTCCAAAAAATATATGCTACAGTATAATACAGTAAAAGAGCAGATGAAGTTAACAGTTTAAGTAACACATGAAAACCCCATCATTTGTAACTTTTCCTTAAAACATGCTGGAGTAATAAAGTCTAAGTTATGGAATACATTCTTTAACAAGGCTCTCTAAGGAGATCCACATGCTTTTAAAAATAACTTTCACATGTCTATCTTTACACAGAAGATCACACAAATTGAAACTAGTCACACATTTTGTCTGTTTTGAGCATTTCCTGGATGTTGACAGCCCTCAATAACATTCCCCAAAACAAAACAAAGCAGCAGGGTCTTGCCTAGAAAAATGCTGCCTTATAAATTTTCCTCTGAAACTATATTCTTTCTTCTGGAATTTTTCCTCTGCAGACATTTCCTTTGACATTGCTGTCTACAGCAATGCATTTTTAACTGTTCAAGTGAACAGCACAAGGTTTTGTGCTTATATTCTTGGAAATTCTTACTTCAGATGCTGCCACTAGCTTTTCTAGTACCCCCACACACTGAAGCAGTAGGCCTGCCTGGAAGGGAAAATGAGGGAAGAGAAAAGGAGAGTTGCTTTTAAAATTCTATTTTAAAATTTCAACTTTCATTGTTTGCCAAATACCAGATACACTGGGGCTTTTTTTTTTTTTTTTAAGGGGAAAGTATCAATCTTTAGCAAAAGCATCTAAAACACCATCAGTACAAGTAGTTAAAAAAGGTTACCCACACGATTTTCACAATGACCATGCTCCTACAGCCAAGAACACACAAGGAAATCCTTCCTCAGCCTTTTGAGGAGGCATTTATTCAAAACACAACTTTACTCAACTACATGAGTAAGTTTTTTTTTCAAAAAACAAACAAACAAAAAGCCAAAACAAAAAAAAAAACAAAAACCATCCCTTCCCCCCATAACAACAAGCCCACAGTGACAAATTCAGGTACCTACACTCAAGTTTCTGGGCCTGGAAAACAAGCCTCTACATGTCTCTACCCTTTGAATTCTAAAATCTTGTAGCAGATTATAAGCACTAAGTTCTTGTACAAGAATTCTAGTTCATCCACACAGAATTGAGCAGGAAAAGAAATACAATCTGAAAGCAGATAAAGAAGAAACTGTTCCTACTCCCGTCAAGTATACAACCTACTTTAGATGTGTTAATGCTGGTTACCATCTGACACAGATTCAATTCCTATCCCTGTTTACAGTCAACTAAGGAGCAGTGTTTTACTTCTTAATCAATCATTAAGTATCTACCAAAATGCAGCCTTTCAGAAGCTGCAACACTCATGTCTGTGTCTAATTTGCTAGATGTAACTGTAGCATCTGATACCACTAGGTAGCAACATCCCATCCAATTAAATTCTACGTTTGGTGGCAACTACAATATCCCTGATTTTGTACTTCCATGTCTAGTATCACATTCTTTAATAGGCCTTTAGAAGTCAAGAATTTCAAGCATTTTCTCACAATTTTTACAAAACAATCTCAGCTTATCCTACAATGTTATCAGACACAGCAGCTGTGACAGAAGGTTCTGCTTCAGCTGCTTACAGGAACTATTTCCAAAGTTTTCCATTCAACAGTCCAGGCTCCTTCAAACTTGGAATAACTATTACTTAATGTGATTCCTAGAACATCTCCATACTGTTAAGGCCGCTGCTGTCTCAAAAGGTGCTAAATTTATATCACCTCTGGAAAGGAATCCCCAGCAGCTGAGTGCTGCACATGAGTGAGAGTGAAGACATAGGAGACGAAGTAGAAATGGCGACAGAAAGGGAAATGCAGTTCAAACACAGGACACAAGCATTTTACAAACATTGCTTTTTAATGAAGAGAAGCTTGTGATCTAATGTCAGCATCAGCTGATTTTTCCCTAAGCACTAAAACTGCAAATGATGACAGCTGCTGCTATGTTGAGAACAACCATTCAACATAGTTCTGGGAGTCTGCACTAACGTACCAGGCCAAGACCCAACCTCAAAGCATAAGTTCTGGAAAGCATTTTAAGGAACAGAAAAAGCTGGCAAGAGATGGCAAACAAGAAGTGATCCATTTCCAAACTTTTATTCAGCAGAAAGTAGAAAGCAAACAGATGATCATGACTAGCGAAATTAATTCACTATGATATAGTGTGCATTATGCAAGTCTTAATTTTGACTAAAAAAGTGTCTATAACTGATCAAGCCACATGAAACAATCAGAAAAACAGAGAACTAGAGAGAACTGAGTTGGCATTCAAACAGCTGGAGTACACTGGGGCTCTCTCAAGGGGCAAGAATGCTCCATTTATGTTTTCAAGCATTTCATCTACTTTGTATTCTGTGCATTTCTAATAAATATGCATTAAAAAACAGTTTCCAAAAGTAAGCTGGTCTATTTCTAGCTCTCCACTATCCTTTGCTTAACTAAGCCTATTCTGCAATATATTAAAATCCTACTGAAGAAACAAATGGCACATACATAATACAGTCCACATTATAGTAAATTATCTTAAAGCTTATCTAAAAAACTCACTTCCCTGCTTGGTCTTCACACTCCTCACACTAGCACTGATCTCATGCTGAGTAGGTTCATGGAACAAACCCTTAAAAATTGTGAAAATCAAATCATTTTGACCTGATTTGAAGCAGATTTGCATATGGGATCACAAGAGTCAGTTCTCACCTGAAGATCTAGTGTAGAGCCTCATTAGACATATTTTCCTTTGAGAAAACTACGTCAAGTTAAGGATGCTAAATTAATTCCCATTTAAACATGCTTGGAATCATCATTTTGAAGTGCTAGCTCCCAGAGCTGCAGGCAGTTCTTACTGAATTCTCTGCTGCTATAACCACTCAACTTGCAGTTCTCAGGACAGAAACATCTTGGGTGCATTAAGCTATTTTTGCTTTTCAGATAGAAGACTTATGTATACATCATAAGGATAAACCTCACACTGCAATATATAAAACTTGTCAATGTTTCAAATCTTGCTGCCTACAATTAGATGTTTTCTAAGTACTTATTTGCTTGTTGGCAATGATTCATTTCCCTCCCCTGGCCGTGTTTCAGCAGACACAGAGTTTCCAAGCACTCCCACCATTGCTTACTTCTGCTTGCATCTCAAACACGGATTTAGAAGTGTAAGTTAAGTTCTGAATATACTGGGCCCCAACTTTTGGGTTTAACACTGACTATATTAAAATTTTTTTTGCGTTTTCTACATGAAGTCACAGCAAATGAACCAAAGCAAAGCACAGAAACTGCATATTTCATGTCAGAATTTGTAGTTAAAAAAAGCTGAAAACCCCAGGAAGATAGCTAGAATTTCATTATTACAAGATTGACATTTCACAGATAGTTGATAAGGCACAGGACAGCACTATTAGTTGCAAGTGCCTGAAATCTGCTTTTTTGAGGTACAGCCAAACCCAGTGTGATCCTAGGGAGCAGTGGAGCAGATTCAGAGCACAAATCTCCCTTCTCTAAGCAGTCTGATGTTAGCTTGAATAAGCACAACATGTGATTCTAGCTACTGCCCCCATCAAACAGATCAGTTCTCTGCTACTACCAAAAACAACAAAACACACACAACCACCCACAGAGAATGAACCCACTTTACATCTGCTTGCCAGTACATCCTGAATTTTCAGCAGTGACCCTTCTACACTATGAAGGTTTACACACTGCCTGCTGCTAATGTCCAAATAAGACATTAGAGAAGGCAAATTCCATCTTTTCCCCACACAGAAGGATCAGAACAGGGGAAGCCTTTTCCACACAGCTGATCGGAAGGGAAAACAGGATGCCAGTTTTCTTAAGTGTAGCACACCTACAGATTTAAGTGTATTCTTTGAGATTTGTTTTTACAGAATGATAATAGAATTGCAGAATGCAGCAAGAACTGCTGAGAAAGCACCCAGAAAGATTCAAGACAACAAAATCCCCTCTCCAGCTCTAAGCAGAATATCTTGTTCCTAAAGAAGCTTGGGAGAAGGAAGTCAGATTTTTGCTGTGTTTCACAGTGAAATCTTTCCTCTCATTAAAGCAGACCCAACCACTGCCTCTTTTTCCTCTCACGCTGAAGACCCGGGCTTGGGCTCCTGTCAGGAGGTGTTTACACAGGAGCAGTACTAAATTACTTGTAATTTTCTTTGCTAGTACAGAATCAGTGGTAATTTAGGAATTGTCTTTCAAGTTCAACTGGTATGTACCATTTTAATATAATATGCACTCATAGCTTATTTTTAAAGTATGAAAGATCTGATGATCTTTGCAAGCCACATTTAATGTATGTTAACACATTAAAATATTGCCTTGTTTCAATATCACTATAAAACATCTTATCAAGACCAAAGCCAAACTTGACAGGTGTGTAAACAGGCTACCTCTACTTGTGTAACTTGTAGAAACACTACTTGCTATAAACTCTAAACATAAAATATAAACTAATAACTGGATTATTCACATTATTTACTAAAATCTGCAGATTCTCTGAGGACCCCAAGATTCATGGATTAGCTATGAACTTACAAACGCTGAAGGCAAGAAAAGGACTCCAAGTTCATAAGAACGGATCATCAGCTGGGTGCCATTTTTTTCCAGAGCTCCCCAAGCTGCTTTAGATAGATTGGCACTGCAAAGAGACAGAAGGCATTTCAGGAAGGCATAAGTTCACAGCAGCAAATATTGACATACTACAGCTGTAACAATACACTTCAGTAGAACTCAACTTCAATCAGAACAATCTTTTCACAAAAAGCATTTTGGCCATTCTTCCTTACTGCTATTTTTACAGCACAGTGGGAGCAGTAGAGGCCCTATGCAGAAGGGCATTCATACAACACATGTGGATAATTATAAAAGTCTGCATGTGTCACAGTTCTACAAGACTAGTTCAACCTTCTGAAACTCATCTGCACAGGAAGATAGAAGGTTATCGGTAAATAGCTTTAAATAGCTTTAAGTTAGGAAGGTGAAAGGCTCAAGCAACACATCTAGTATACAATATTTTTGGAAATAGTAAATATCTCTTGCTTCCAAAAATTTGTTCTTTGATGCATTTATAAACATCAAATATTTAAGAAACTTTAAGACAAACTATTCTGCACCATACTGTAGCTAAACCATCTGTTACCTGCTATGAAATAGATCAAACTAGAGTCAAAAAGTGAATGCAACTCTCTGGTCAAAGTCTACAGAAAAAGCTTAATGCAAAAAGCACTAATTTTAACTGACAGACCTTCTGGATATTTTCTTGGTAGCAGCATACAGTAGAAAAGAACACAAGAAAAACACTAGTATTTCAATAGGATCATGTTTTATCATGTTAGCTGGCTTAAAAGAATCCTAATAGGCAAAGTTTCCCTCTTAATTTGCAGATGAACATCAACTTGAAGCATGCCAGGACACAGTAAAGGCAGAAGTTAATGACATAACCACTTTTAAAACAGTCTAGCATGTCTTTTGCCCTAAATATCTATAGTATGTTTTCTAAAAAATATATGGGTTACTCATCTGCATTCACAGTGTTGCAATACTGGCATCTGCTGCTGCTTCTAGAAAGCAGAAGCTCAAAGCTGTACACAGACTGGTAGCAAGGACAGCAAACTCTGAACAAAGCCATTTTGCAGCACTTAATTATGAAGAACGCAGTTGAGTCATACAGCTTCTTTCTTTACATATGCACACTTTGTAAAGCAAAATGAATGTTTCAGTTTGCAACCACCCAAACTTAATTAAAAACAAAATACTTCAGATGTTAAAAATGGAAAGTTTTACCACTGTATCCCACCCTTATCAAGCAGAGATATCCTATACCTACATTTACTAATCTGAGTCACGATTAACTTCAATACCCACACCATAAGTGGTATCAGTCCTAGTTAGCTTCACATGTACTATTGTGTTTTAAAGTGGTTACACATATACATTGGACAACTTTTAGAAAAAACAGTTCGTCTTTTAGCAACTGGAATAGTAGGGACATGAGAAGGGAGGTACATCTTTCTGGACACTTTCATTTTACTACTACAAAGAGAATTTGGTTCTGGTCTCAAAATATAATCCTACTGAAGTAGTATAACAGAAGTGCAGAGCTATATATAAAGCTGATTTCTAATTTACACATTTATAAGAGATGAATCTGATCTGTGAGTCAAATCAAAGTCCAATACATGAGCATTTTGAGTTCCATTTTCAATTTGAAGTTTCAAAACTTGAATAGGACCTATGGAATTCAGATATATAAAGGCAACTAAAACAAAGGAGCTGTTCCAGCTTCTGAATTCTGAGAGAGATTAAAGCAGCAGAGACTTCACTATAGGGAAAAGGCTAAAGGCAGAGTATAGTCAAGTTTATAAGATGCCATAGTTCACAAAGTTATTTTCTTGCATTTAAGTTCTCACAGTGTACACTGATTGATTCTGTTTGCACTTTAGAGGATCTAGAATATCTCACTGCTTGCAAGTAACTTTCTTATCAAAGGACAATTTATATTCTTAAAGTTTTGTTGTTGTTACCAGCTATTCTTTAGGGCTAATTCAGTTTCCACTAAAAAGAAAAGTTCATATAATCCAGTATAAGGATCAAGCTTTCAAGAAATCAAAGGCCCCCAAAATGCTTTGGGAAAACATCAGATACAGACTAAAATTCATATTACTACTTTTAGTCTTATATGGAGTAGAGAGGTAACTCTCCTGGGCCTACAAGCAATAAGAACTTTACACATGACAGCTTTGAGAAGTATATAATTAGTTGTTTACCTTGTAACTAAAAACCATGCAATCTTCTGGAAGTCAGGGGAGGGTCTCATGTACGTCTTGATGTGAGGCATGGCATGACTTCGACCAGAGACTTCTGCTGACCATTTACTGGAAAGAGAAAAGAAACGCTTCAGATGAGGTTTTGTTATGATGTCTAAAAAAATGACTACAGTGCCTTTTTTTTTTTTTGGTAACACCACCCTTTTCTATTTGGCACTCTTTAGTACTTGTGTATTCTACAGAAAGGCTGAAAAAAATATTGTATTAAATGGATTTTTTAAAATCTTGAAATACAATTTTACTGGAAGCCAGAAGGGCAGGAATGTTCTCTTAAAAACAACCAGGCATTCTCCTCAGTTTATCAGGAGGATCCCCAAAAAACAAGTTTTCCATTCCTCTACTTCAGCAAGTGCTTGAGAAACTAATTGGTACTAGCTGCAATAACTTTAGTACAGAAAGAGAGAAAGAGTGGTAGCATTTCTGTTGAAATGTGATATTTATTTGTATCCCTCAGCAATAGGAGACAGTAAGGAAGTAGATAGAGACAGTATTTCAAAATTACTACAGCTAAATGTAGAGGAAGGATCTTCTCATCGAAGATAGTAACTTTCTGGAGAACTAGTTTCAATCAAGATGAAAATTCTTTTGATCATATTTTCTTTAACAGGGCAGTATAAATATGTAAGGCCAGAAAGAAGTGATCATGCTCTTCTATCAGAGATTTTTTTCTTTTAAACAACTTTATTACCGCATTCAAAACTAATATGATTTTACAAAAGTATTATAAGAGAGGCATAAGATGATTCTCATTCTGCCTCAAAAATCAAAACATTCCTCTGGACTGCATAACACACTTCTAAACCCAGAAGGGATTTCAGGTGGGTAACAGCATCTAGTTAATTCATTCTTAAATCAGATAAGTCTCAACTTTCCTGGAACTTTCGTGATATATTTTAAGAAAAAAAATAACCAAAGTAGATTGTAAAAAGCCTACTGCAAAATACAAGAGCAGTTGCTTTGCACAGGAAGAACGGGAGCATTTGTTATTTTAACACCTTGAGGGTACTTCCAGTCAAACCAATTCAACACATTTCAAACTGTAAGCTTTATCAGGATGTTAGAGGCAAAGAACATGCTAAGTACTGATCTCCTGCTGCACTAACACTTCAGGCATTTTCAGTGTAAGTGGAGATAAATATAGCAAGTCCAACAAAGTTCACTTTGGGAAGTTACACGGATGTAAATAACAGCTTCAAATAGTTATTTTGTTGGCAGTTAAATATCATGTAACCTGTATCTTCAAGTGTGGGATGAAGTAATGTGAATAGGTATCATCAGAAACAAGACAGAAAAATTAGGCATTTTTATTGTTCCACCCCCTCATTTTTAAATTCCTAGGACTAGCATTCCTTATTAATATTGTTTTACTCTGACAGAACACTATCCCCGGTATTTTCAATGCCACTCCATCCCTCAACAACTTTTGCAGCATCTCCATCAGCACCTTGCCTCCTCATCCCTTTTGTTTTTAAAAAATGATGCAGTCTCTAATGTAATGATAGCCACTTTTAATTCAGTGCATTATACTGGAGCCACATGTAAACAGCCCATCTGTAATTCTCACCCTGGTAAAACACAATTTTAGCTGCTCCTGCATCTCCAGCTCTACAATAGCTGCTTTAGAGTTTAATTTAACTTGTTGCTCCCTCCACCCCCACCCAGGAGATTTACTGTGAATAAGGTATCTTTTGCAGTGTGGAAATACTTCCACACTCACTTGCACTACAAATGAGAATTCTAATGAATTGTTGCTTTTATATCTGCTAAAACTTTGCAAGTGGTTAAAAAGGTTTTTTTAATTGTGTATTTCATAGAATCATAGAATGCTTAGGGTTGGAAGGGACCTCTAGAGATCATCAAGTCCAATCCACCTGCATACGCAGGGTCACCTAGAGCACATGGCACAGGACTGTGTCCAAGCGGGTTTTGAAGATCTCCAGAGAAGGAGACTCCACAACCTCTCTGGGCAGCCTGTTCCAGTGCTCTGTCACCCTCACTGTTAAGAAATTTTTCCCTCCCTTGAAGGTACTTCTAGACACTGATCAGATCCCCTCTCAGCCTTCTCTTCTCCAGGCTGAACAGGCCCAGCTCCCTCAGCCTCTCCTCATAGGGCAGATGTTCCAGGCCCCTGATCATCCTTGTGGCCCTGCGCTGGACTCTCTCCAGCAGCTCCACATCCCTCTTATACTGTGAAGCCCAGAACTGGACACAATACTCCAGATGTGGCCTCACCAGGGCTGAGTAGAGGGGCAGGATCACCTCCCTCGACCTGCTGGAGACGCCCTTCTTAATGCAGCCCAGGATCCCATTGGCCTTCTTGGCCACAAGGGCACACTGCTGCCTCATGGTCAACTTATCATCCACCAAAGTTCTCCTAAGGTATTATGCTTACAGAAGCTGAATTAAAGCTCTCTACACAACTCTAATTTTATTCTCTTGAGAATTGATGAGCTTCTGCCTGGAGCTTGCCTCCTTTGCTGAGTGCTCAGAAGGCACAGTAAGAAGGCAGAAGGTGCAAGACCCCTCGCTTGCTGTTCCAGTTCCATCCCTTGATGTTAACCAGCAGAGCTCACAGCAGCCATCACAGGACTGTCCACTCAAGAGCAGAAGATGCTCTCTGCAACTAACAGCTCTGTTCTTGGCCAACTCACTATCTCACACCAGTTCACCAGCTCTGACCATTCTTATAGACAGGCAGAGAGTCAAAGCGCAGAGCAGCTTCCACCTGGAACAGTTAGAAGATGCTGGTGAAAAAATGAGTGGCTGTGGTCTTGAAATATTACCAGATTTTTTTTAATCTGTGCAAAACAACTTTTCCCATTGTTCTCAAAAATGCCTAAATTTTTAAAAAAGATTCAGCCCAAGGGAGACATCTGGCATGGAATGTGTCAGATGGTTAGAATTTGGCAAAATTAGAAGTAAGTGAAAATAGAAGCTCTTAATAAGAAACATCAGGCACCTTTAACAAAAGATGATATTGACAGAGATTTTGCAACAGATTTGCTGCACTACAGAGCAGGAAAAAAAAAAACACAAACAAAAAACCACCCACAAACCCAGCATCCTAACACCATTTACCAACATTAACACTGCAATGAGAAAGCAATAAGCTTGGCCAATACACTGAAACATGGAACAGAAGTGGGAATGTGTCAAACAACCGTAAAAATAAAAGTGACAAAGGGATAACATAAAGTTATTTCAAAGAATTTTGGAGAGCCCCAAATCTGACGCACCAGTATATTGTGGACATAAGACCAGATTTGGAACTAAAGGCATTTAATTTAAGTTGAAAATTATCATGCTTCCCACCCCTACTTATTCCTTAATAAACTATTAGCAAAACATTGCAACAATGTAAGTTTGAACAGTCTGAGAAAAAGCGAAGAACTGAGTTTTACTTACTGAAAATAGGAATGCAACCACAATTGTTTCTGTGCTGTTTGTACACTGTATGGAAGCGAGCCACCAGCTTAAAGAAAATACAGAAAATTTACGTTTGCTTTTGAAAGACACTGACAGCAAATATTTACTAAGCCTCTTATTATCTGTATTACTGTTACTTATTTTTGGAAAACAGTCAAATGCTACAGTAGTATAAAGTGGTACACAGCTTTGTTTTTTTTAAACACATGTTCCCAACTAAGTAATAAATTTACAATAGGACAACACGAATCATTATATAAGCTCTAGAATTATGTCCTCTTAAGGAAAGATCTCTGCAGATACTTTTGATTACAGTATCACTTCATAGATACAGATAACAGTTATTTACACACCAGCAGGAGTAAAAGAAGCAAAGTAGCCATTTAAAAAAATGAGAACTTATGATGAAATTGTACATTATTCTCAACTGGTCTTTGGCTAATGTATAGTATGGTTTCTTGAAACAGGTTGTAATGAAGAATCAGTAACAGTATACTGAGTTATATCAGTGCCGTGCATTAAAAGTATGATGCAAAATCTGTTCTAGAAGCAGCCATAAGGGATTGCCATAAAAGCTTCACTGCTCTGAAGGATGAGCTAGCTACAGGAATCCATGGAGCTGTTCACTTATAGTGATAGTTAGGCAATTCATTGAGTTGTTTCACAGAGTTAAATACATCACAGCAACAGACTGCCGCTGCTACATTTTAGAAAACAAGAATTTTGCTATACAGATGCTGTAGACAACCATGCGTATTTCAATAGAGCCCAATTTACCTTCTGAAATCATAAAGGCCTATAAACTCACTGGGCACAGTCTATACATATGCTCCGACTGCTCAGTTCAGATGAAGGATCAAGATAACTGGTAACAGTCTCTGAACAACCTGTTTTTAGCTACCCTTACAGTAAAGGGTATATTTAAATGGAATTTCCTGTATTTTAATTTATGTCCATTGCCTCTTGCTCTTTCACTAAACACCACCAAGAACCTAACACATTCTCCATTACTTCTGGCACTAGCAAAATGACACTGCAGCAAGGATACAAAGATAATCTGGCATAAGCAAACTCAAATCCAAGTTTTCTGCCAAAACAAGTGTATGACTCAAGTTAGAGCTACAGATTTTTTTCTTCTCCTATACAGTGACAGATGAACATGACTCTGCAGGCTTGTACATCACACACCACTGCCCACAAAGCTCTGCCCATACAGTTGCACTGCAGCAGGGCTAGAGGCAGAGTATCAGTAACAAATAAAAGGACTCTGCTGCCACCTACTCAGAGTTCCCCACAAGGAAACAACTCCTTGTGCTTGCTCTTGCATCAACCTGGTTTCCCCCTGCCCTCATTCCTTTACTTACCAGGATAGCCTTCCAGACTTTGTCGCACATTGTCCACAGTAGGATAAACCTGCAAGCAAAAACACAAGCAAATCCATAAAAACATTATTTAAGTAATGCATCGCTAATACACTGCCAACAATTTTCAAACAAAAATCTCCTTAACAGATTCTTACTTGAAGGAAAAAATATTAAAAGCTTCATTTTCCAAATGAACTACACAGCATTTTAAACTAGACATGGCAAATCAGTCCTGTAGCAGTAACACAGAAAGCCTTTAGTGTTTTTAGCCATCTTACACATCTTAATCAGCAGACAAAAGGCAGGGACTCAGGGTCATGGTTCAGCTAATTTCACTTTAGTCATAATAAGTTCTTAGTATTTACTTTAGATCACATTTCAAATATGACCATGCATGGCATTAGTTAAGAGTGAGCGTACAGCTTGGCAACATCTTTGATTTAACAAGATCTTCCCACAAACTCATTTCTCCTCATCCCTTAGTTATGCTGATAGGTACAACTAAGTACAAAAGCAAAAAGGTTAAAAATAACAAATATGAATCACGCAGTGGTTCAATTACACTTCAGCATCAGAACAGCTGCTTCTACTAATCTCAATGGAAGACAAACTATAGAATGAGGATGAGAATATTGTAATTTTGTCACAAGGAAAAGATATAGTTAATCATACAAATGTACTCCATAGTACATAAAGTTTATATGAATGTTCTGTTCAAATATGAGACTGATGTTACTTTAAGTGTTTTTCATACTACAATAATCTAATCAAAATCTTCAGCATAATACTGGTAACATCTCTCCTCAAGAAGAGATGTTAAACATTTGTGAAAATGTCAGATAAAAGCCATTGTTAGAGCTAAAATCTACTTGCACAGCAAGCATCTGGGTTTCAACATTCAGAAAAGATAGACCAAGGAACTATAGAAACTTAAATCTTCCAAAGTAAGCATCCAGGAAACTTCTAAGATGGAATATGTCTTTCAATCACATATTACACAGAAGGCCATGTCCAATAGCAGTAGGAGCAACAGGTTTTTGCAAATACTAATATTGTTCTGCTCTTTCTTCTCTCTGCTATTAATTCAATGATGTTATTTAAAACCCAGATATGCAGAGGCTCTCTGCTTAAGTGATTTGAAGTTAAGCAGGATGCTAACTTCTTATGTCTGCAAGACAGACATTCACATTGACCCACTGTGAGCAGAAATCCTGATTTCTCATTCTATAACAGGTCAGCTGATTTATTACCTGGAAGAGAAAGTTTCTTCCACTGGTTTCAAGATGGAAAATAGGTTAGTTTCTTCCAAAAGAAGGAAGCAAGCCAATGGCTATGAGATTAAAGAAATGAACAAACAATAAAGAGGCCACCAGCAACAAAAAGCTTACCAAGTGAATCGGAACAGCACATCTGAGGAGAGATGTCCCACTGGTGCCTGCAGCCACCAGGCTGTCCTGGAACTCCGAGCACAGCCACTTGGACTCGTCTGCTCCCATCGAGCCAATGCTTGAGAACTGCCCCACAACAGGCCAGGACTCCCGCGCTGCCACCGACGAGGCTCCCTCCCTCAAAAGCTATTGGGGAGGGATTAAAACATCATTAGACTTCAACAGGAAAACACAGCATTACAGCTTTGGTATAACAGCAAGACATAGAACACGGTATTAAAGACCAAAAGTAGTTAAATAATTCTTAATATATGATAGTTGCTAACTATCTAGTTCCTTTCATATCTCAAAATCCCAGTTATAGTAGATTCTTGCAGTGAAAGGGAAAAATAAACAATGAAAAAAGGCAACTGAAATCTTTTGAAGTTCTTAAGCTGTGAATGGAATTTAAAGTCCCATTAAAAAGAAAACAGAAGAACACCAGCAATCCTTAAGTTATCTGTAGTACCTAGCTCTTCTCCCCTCTTGGAAAGGCACTACTGTCTTCAGTCAGAAGTAGTATTATTGGGTTTATTTGTATTTGCACTAAGAAAAATAACTTAAGCTTTTAAAATACAGAAACAATTGCCAGAAGACAGTCTTTACAGGTTTTTCTATTTTGGTATGTTTTCATTTAATGTCTTAATAGACAAAAACCCTGCACAGCATACATCTATATCAGAGGGGAGACGCTACTTACATGCAATAAGAGATCTAAAAGAACAGCTTAGAATCAAAATAGAACAGGATGAAGAGACATTTTACACATCACTGAAATTTGTAATGCAGAGCATTAGAATTTCTGGATCATATCATACAAAATTCACTGTGGAATTGAGACAATACCACTTCAAAGGATACAGGCCAAAAAACCCCCAATGGTGAAAGGCATTTAAAAAATGACATGAAATAACTTACTCAGAATTAATACTGAAACAGAAGGGACTCTACAGTAAGAGACACTGCATTCTCATACAGACCTTTGCTGGGGCATCTTAATGAAACTATGGAGAGTAAATAGTACTCCTAATTATTCTGCTAACTAAGGTCACTAAATCTTAGAAACACAGTATAGAACAAAAATATGACTGAATGACATTAACTCTGAGCAAGCTGTTCAATAATTTTTACTGGCTCATTAGGGAAAAGAAACATTAAAAGTCCTTAATAGGTAAGTAAATTTAATAAGCCTATTTCTTATGTGTAAAAAAGCCTATAACAACCTTTTTCCTCAGCAAGTGCCTTTGAAAAAGGCTACATCTGACTCCCAGTCACAGGTTGTGAGCATCAGATTCATGAGAAACATCAACAAGACAAAAAGTTCTAGTACCTTTCTGAGCCTAAGATGACCCCATTTTTCTTTATCAATACCTTGATATCGTCCAGGGGTAGAACCAAGCAGATACACCCTACAGAAACAAAAAAAACACAAGGAGATTTGGAGCTCTGTCACCCGAAAGCATACTTGGGTCAGTGGAAGTCACTTTAATCTGAAAAGCTACTTTATGACGACCAAGTGCAAGGCTGTGCACTTTATATCAGCATTCTGAATATCCCATTCAGCAACAGTATCTTGATAAATATTTTTCTGTATCTTGCTAAATAATGAGAAAGAAAAATCTGCAGTGGTTGGCAGCTTAAGTGGGCCAGTTACTGCTTTAAGTTGAATCCAAAACACATGGCAGCTTGAGAACATCAGCTTTGGACTACAGTGAAGTCTTCAGTTTCCCAAGTACCTAGCCCAGAGTTAGCCCCACTGAGAGCAGTCTCAAGTGAGACCCATGTTTGAATACTGTTAAGTATGTAAGTTTAAGAAACAAACTCATGTCTTAATGAATCATTATAAAAAGAGATGTTTAATTTTGGAGAAAAAAAGCATGCAAGTTATAGATGCGTGATAATATATACCTTGTCTCTGATAAATCATGTTCTTGAATATTATCTATCCATTCCTTGAGTGTAGGAGAATTGTAAGCAGCCAAGTAGCTTATTAGGTCAGATTTAAAATTAGTTTCAGATTCACCAGCAGAACCAGTTGCTTTTTTTGTGTGGAATTACCAACTAACTGTCTTTTCATTAAGATTCTCAGTAAAAATAGAAAAAAAAGTTGCACTGCAACAAATAGCTGGGAACTGATTGGTCTTTCCTATATTACTCTTTCATCAAGATGGGATAAAGATTGTGTTTGCTAAACTCTTGCTTTGTGCAAGCATTAAGAGAAAGAAAATATACTACATTCCGGCTACCATGTGAGCATTCTATTCTTACATTACAGTTTTGCTCTAGCCCATCATTTCCAAATTTTGATCCTTATAAGCACCACAGGAATAGACCAAACTTCATAAATATTCATTTATTTCAACTGAGCTCAGCCAAAAGAACACTAGCAGCTAAAAGAGGAAATAAATAATTTTAAAAAGCCTTACTGGCTTATTTCAGTTCCATTAAAGCTTACTAAAGGGGAGGAAGATTAAAGCTTTATATTGACATTTACAAACCAGAAGTCCTACATAATTTACATTTTGGAATAAAATGCTCTGATTCTGTAAAGCTTTTAAAAAATTAGTAAATAAAAAAGAAAGCTTGGACAAAGATCAGCACAGTTTACAGCAAATTCAAACTACTACCAGTACCATTTGTTGACAGAAGACAAGATGAGTGGGATATTATTCTCTTCTCTACTGAAAGCAACCATCCTGGATGTTGATCTGTATTCTCCGCAGACAGACCAGATCATTTGCAATCTACCATCTAGCAGTTCTTTCCATTCACACATTACGTAGCTATAGCAACCACAGCATCTGCATTATCATTTTTACACAAGGTTCATACTACCCTTGGCACTTCAGAGGCTCCCAGAACATATAGAAGCCTATGAGTCATCACACTGGCAAAACTGCATAATATTACAGCAAAGTTGGAAAAAAAGTATTTTTCATGTTCGACAAGTATGGCAACTTGTCAAGCATCACAATGATTATTTTCACACCCCTCCTTGGTCTTCTAAAAGGTTAAGCACCAAAAGATACTAAAGCCATCTCTAAGTAAAAGATCTCAAAGTAAAAAACAGCAGTTGCATTTCTACCACTCAGCCTCAAGACAGGTTGCTTCAAACAAGTGCAAGGTTCAGAACCATGCCCTGTTTAACAGCAGTAATATGGATCTCCAGAAGGTAGCAACCTCTGAAAAGCCACTTTCAAGTAGTTTGACAAAACTCTAACATCCTAAGCTGCTGTAGACAACTAAAGAACTCACAGGGAAAAATAGTTAAGAAATATATTAAGAAATCATGTTTCTCAAACTGGTTTAAGGCAGTCTTAAGTATTATTTCAATTTGCCAGGCAAATACTTTAGTCCTGTCCACAAAATTATGCTCTAAATAGTTACAGCAGAAATGGAACATCTGCCCAGTCAAATATTCTAATATTAATTTTTAAATGGTTGCTTGAGCTTTTACAAGTACAAGCAGGGTTTAAAAAAAAAAGCTGAAGATGGTTAAAACTGGTTTAAGGTAATGCCAGCTCAGAATGAATTTCTATTTAGAGTAGAAAGCAACTAGAGCAGGCCTAGACAGCTATCACCTTTCCAGCCGTAGCTGTTTGCTGCACAGGGCTGTATTAAGAACATGAGACTTGCAGCACCAGATAAATGAAATGGCCCATTCTGTGCCCTCTACTACTAGCAGCACCTTGTATCCCATCTCCAGCAGTGATGGGAAGCAGAAATGTAGGTATTAAAACAAACATACAAAATACCTTCTCCTAGGACTCTCCCAGATCTGAGCTGTTCAGTTGAGCAACTACCCCAGCTCCAGAAGTTTCCACCTATTTTGGATCCTTTTAACATCCAGAATATTCTTTTGCAAGTTTGTGGATGAGCTGCATGCTTCATGAAAATTTCTGCATTTTATGAAACATACTTTCTGGAATTGATATTGGTATTCCCGTTGGTATTGAATATTAGAGCAAATCATCCTCATTCTTCTTCATGCCATTCAGTTCTTTAGACCCTGTAGTCTATTTGTACAGTTCCTAATAAAGAAAAGGGAGTGCTAAGGTTTTAGTTGTTACATGCTACATTCTTATCAGAATGAACTTCAAAGCTGACTTTGCTGAATAGCTGTTTCATCAAGCTAAAGAAACAGCTGGTTTTCAAAATCTGTAAGAGAAGCCCCTAACCCTGAGGCTGGGGTACATCTAACACTAGCAATAGATGAGCCCTTTCAAAAAAACAGTGTCTGGCACAGAGCTGAGAAGTTTTGCTACCACTGATAGTATCAAGCAAAGAAATCTAACAACTGTCTGCTGTAGTCATCTCATTTTCCTGACAGATATCTTGGATTCCTCAAAATAGTCCCATTTAATGCACAGATATTCTCTTAATCTGCAACAAGCATTACAGCATTTCTGTTACAATCAGGGCCTTCATTTTTACACATGCTCAGAGCTCCCGGGGGAGAAGTCCTTATTTTCTACTTGCATAGATTTGTAACAGGTTTTTGCACAGCTGCAAGCACAAGAAGCATCTCCACACACTTATTATCTCATCATGCCAATTAATGCTGATGCATTCCAAATGCTTATTATTTTCCAGTGAAGACAGCTAGGCCCAAATTATGCTTTTTTAAAATTGTTTTAACACCTCCAGGATCCCAAAAGACACAGCACAAGGCTTAGAAAACACTATCTGTGTCCAATTTGTTTAATTCCCACCAAACAATGTAAATTAAGCCTCTAACCTGCTTTAATGATTTTTTTTAAATTCTCCTTAATGCTTATTTAAAGCCTGATTTTAAAACATATTTGAAATGTTTTCAAACATATTAACAACAGGAAGAGTTGCATGCCTAGCACAATTAAAAAGAAAAAAGATTAGAAAGTGTCACTAAGATAAGCCTCAGTATTTAAAAACCCATTTTCAAAGTAGAAGCAGCTTCCCAGGTCTTATTTTTTTCCCCTCACTCATTTCCATATTGAGTTTGTTACACACAGTCATAAAAACCTGTGGTGGGCTAATATTTAATTTGGCTGTATTATAGTTCTATATACAGGTTAGCATCTAGGCATCTAATGTAGGTCAGCAAAATTCTGAAAGTCAAGACAACTACTCCACCAAAAAGGTCCCTTATGCATAGCATGAACTATATCTAGAAATGGTTAAGATCAAACCCTGAGACCATTAAAAGAATGGTATTTTTTGCAGCTCAAACCAAGCATGTTCTTATTTCAAGTACTGTTACCATTTATCTGATAAAACATAACTAATGTCCAGGTCTTCATACACAGATAATCCATTCTGCTAAATTCAAAGAAAGGAAATTCAGCTTCTGATTGACTGATAGCACAGTCAATATCATTAGTAAAAACTCTGCATTGTGCACATTTTTATACACTCTTATCAAATCTCTGCTGTTCACCACAAAGCAAATGAAACAGATGCATCACTACTTATACCTCCCTCAGTTCAACTTTAACATATATAACCCAGAACAAAGCATATGGCCTCAATACCTAAACTATTAGTAGGAAAACAAGAGATTAGTACAGATTTTTGCTTACCCCTGGGTTTTCTGGTGCCAGTCTTCAGAAATCAGATTAGATGTATGTATCACAACTCGAAGACCTTCTTCATATAACAACAACATCATTTTCCTTAAAAATAGTGTGATTAATATATACATTACATTTTTTGACTCTTAGGATACTTAAATGTCCCTTAATAGTCCATTACAATTATCAATTATGAGAATTCCAAATCATTTTTTCAGTTCTGCATAAAATAAACAATTCAACTTTCATCTACAGGCGTACTATTCCTATATGCTTGAGACTTGCATGGCAGTCATTAGGAAATCCACATATATTTTTATTAGTGGCATTACACAATCTGTTTAAGGTTACCTCTTAGCATCTCACTACTGACTTGCAAAAGCAACAGTGAATACTTGCAGAACAGTTACTATGTTTCAAATGGACTCATTCTTCTGTTGCTTAAAAAAACACACACACCAAAAGGTCGTTGCTTATAGCTGAATTTAATAAAGTCTAGTTCTCTCAAACTAACAACTCTTAGGCAACGACTTGCTAAATGCTAAACATTGGAAGTATACATTTCTGAGCAAACTAGGATTTAAGCAGCTTGCACTCAAAAATTTTATGTTCTTACTGCAAAGTAGCATTCAATGCTCTAACTATAATAAAAATAATCCTGGAAGCTATTTTGATTTGTTCCAAACAGGCTGAATTGTCATATTGTTTATAGCAAAATAATACATTAAGGCAAATAAAATTGATAACACTGACCAAAAGATCATTTCCGCAAAATTGTTGACAAATAATTAAGGTTTACAGCATGCAACAGACTTGAGCTTTATTCACATAGCAAAAATCTGTTAGGTTTCTCATGGAACAAAAGCAGACACTTTCTTTAAATTGCTAAAGGCTTATAAACATCAAATATAAAAGATTTGCAGCGTTTAAAGGGGTTGCTTGGGTATTCTGCCTCTGAACACATGCTCCAGTGCATCTGATTTACTGTTCTACCACCCCCACTTGCTCTGTTCCATCTACACTGGAAAATATATTCAGAGGTACAGCACTCAAAACCCCATCACTGTCACTTATTAACCCAAATAATGGGCTGGAGGAAATCTGAAGTGGAGCATACAGAGAATAAGACAGCTGTTGCTTACACTGTTTAAAAGAAAGTAAACTTAAGCTTTAAAATGATCAGTTTAACTAGGCAGACTTAACACCCCCATTATCCCTCATTTACAATGAGTATCTGGTAGAAATGCCAGATTCATCAAAAATGTTGAGACCCTCCCCACATTTGCATATATTCATCTCCTAACAGGTAAAGACATCACTGCATTCTATCATAAATAGAAGTGTCTTAAATGAGCATTTCAGGTTTACAATTTAATTTTAACTTTTATAAAGGCTTAGAGAAAAAAGATTGATGAACGAATTGGAGTGCCTAGAAACCAGACTTCTGCTGTATATAATGCGATTCGTCTTATCTGAAGCTTATGAGTTACAAAAGGCTGTGCAGCACTTCTATGATATCCAACTTAAGCTTTCACTTGAAAATAATTAAAAATGCAGTTATTTTTGAATTTTCCATGTTAACTGCAGAAGCAGAGCAGTTTCTGTTCAGTCTGTCAGTGACTAATCAAGTTACAGCAGTTACTTACGTATGGTGAGTTCCAAAAGCAATATCCAGTTTAGCCTGTAAAATGAAAGAGTTGATCATCAACAGAAATTACTATTGTGCATTTCTATATGCAAGAATGTTAAGGGAATGAAGGTGCCTTGCATTCATTTTGTTTCATTTCACTGCTCTCTAGTGGAGAAATGAACCATATGCACTTTTTTACATTAGCTTTAAATGTACTTTCCAATTGCCAAAAGTCCTATTTTAACTTTCAATGACACTTTTTGCTGCTGCAACTGCTACAGGAGACGTGCTGGTCTCTTGCCAGCAGTAGTTTCAGAAACAGTCTTCTGAAACCCAAGTCAGCCCTTACAAGGAGCATAACTGCTAACAATGCAAAGAACCAACAGAGGAACAAGAAATAGAATAGCCTTTTTCCATTCAGTGCTTTCCTGTTAGCAAAAAAAAATGCTATTTGCAACATGACTTCTAGAAATATTTTCAGACATCTTGAAAGCGATTTTTTAAATAAATGCATAGGGATTTAAACTGTACTGTGGAAACTCATTCCAAGAGCACTTTCTTGTAACACACATTCAAGCTACTACAATCTTTGATGAGACTATTAAGATTGATTGCACTAACAGTAATAAATTCTTCTTTGTATATAAATTGGACATTTTTTAACCTTTTCTTCCACAAAAAGAATTTGAGTGTAATAAATCTGTGAAGGCAGGCAGCTGTGTAAACAGCCTACAGTAATAACAGAAGACCAGGAACACAGCTAAACTGTTCCTATAGTCCCAGAAAGCATCCTGCTTAAAGCATAGCTAAGTTTTTTTGACTTCCTATATAACACACATTAAACATTCTTCTTTTTGTCCATAGCAAGGTTTTGAGCACACAGATTGACAAATTTCAACTGAGAGATGATATAAAGAGCTAGTTACCTGACAAAAACTAATGTTCTCATAAGGGCGTGCTTGTGCAATCAGTTCAGCCTTGGATTCTCTCTTTTCACCATGAACTATCAATAATGGCTTCTTCCTTAAATGAAAGGAGATTATTTTTGAAACATCCAGTAAATTAACCATTAGGCCAAACCAGTCTCCCAGACAGGTATGACTTCTAGCTCCTAAATCCAACAGCCCAGCAGAATAATGCACATAATCTATATAGTTTATTAGTTATCTCAAGAAAATCAGCAACCATAATATACATGTCTAAGATGAAGACGGTAGAAAGAGTTGATGGAATAGAAAAACAGGACGTGTGGAGAAAAAAGTAGACATCAAAATAAAAGTTAGCAACATAGTGTTGACCTGTAAGTCAAATTAAGGGAGAGGAAAAGGAGATGACAAGGTTTATCCTTGTGATAGCTTAAGCTCATCTCTTAATACTCAGTCTACAGAATTTTTAGTAAAATGGGAAAAAATATCAGTTTCCTTCACATGTGGTAGAGTCACAATTATCAAAAAGGAGCATCAAAGAAATATGAGAACTGCTATCATGACAACCTCCAGCAACAAAGACCATTCCATAACATCCTGATCATTTTGCACTTTTTTTGTGCTCTTCCTATATTTCCCCCTCTTGCATTATTTTGCTCTTAGCTCTGTAACCTATACAGCATAAGAACTTGCTGTTCTGTCTTCCAGTGCATTGTTGTTTTGACAGAGCCTTATAGAAGATAATTAGTAAAATCAGTAACAAAAACTGAATCCTGAGCAGGCCAACACTGTCTCAAAAAGATGCAAGAAATCAGAGAACTAACATTGTAGAAAAAGCATAGAAGGAAAACCTAGAGCCTACACATACATGATCAGTAAAAAATAATTTTCAAATACAAACAAATGTTTATGGCTTAAATACAAAACTTGCATGAAGTATATGATAAAGAAAATGTATCACTTCACCTACATAAACATACCTGAATTCCTGTGGATATTGTCTTACAAGCCATTCCACATCTATACAGTAATTAAACTTGCACATAAGAGAAAACAGACTCATTAAAAAGAAAAAGCCAAGTTTGTCAAAGCAAAGACTGACTACAGCTAAAAACACATCCTGCACAAAGATATTGTCAATAGTACTTAACATACAAACAAGTATTACTAACTTATAAATACTTCTGAATTTCACATGCTTTCTTTAATGTTTCTTTTAATAATTAAAGCAGGAATTTAAATGATTCAATACCAAATATTAGCATTCATAGTTTACCATGCAGAAAAGGGAGTCACATATGCATAATGTAAAAGCTTTGGTTTCTGTCCTGTGTTTGAACTGCACAGAGCTAAAGCTGTCCTACAACAACAATGCATAATGTAAAAGCTTTGGTTTCTGCTAAAGCTGTCCTACAACAACAACAAAAAAATCCTAGATTGCACTGTATATTATTCAATTCTACTATCACCTACATGCACAAATATATATTATTTAGTCATCCATTCCCAGAAACAGGCAAGAGAAGGCAGACTAATAAGAACTGTCCTAATTCAAAGCAGGACACATGATAATTTCTTTTTATATTTGTGTAAATTGTTACAGAGTTTGGCTTCCCACTACTCTCAACTATAATTTAACGGAAGCTACTTATCAGGTACACAACATGGAAGAGCAAGCTTGAGGTCAGAGATACATTAGGAAGTATCCAGTTAAAAAAAAAAAAAAAAAAAAAAAAAAAAAAACACACAACACACACTCACCTGCGCAGAAGATAGAAGAGTCCCAAAGAGAGGAGACAGAATATCTATTAAAAATATTAAAGCAAAATAGAGTTATTAAAAAAGTGGATATTTCACATCTTGAATAGTTTAACAACTGCAACACACGTGCCACAATGTTCACAGGCTGTGGTTTCAATATTCAAAGTTACTGGTACTGTTGTGAAGGAATTTAGGTCTTATGGTCCTAAAAAGAGCAGCCCCTCTCAAAGCAGAAAAATAAAGTTAAAAAGCTCATTAGGAGAGAGCCCAATAGCACACAGAGAAATGGATAAACTAGTCTTTCTCTTAGAAATCACCTAAGGGAGAGTGGAGGGTTGATGCAATGAGAATATAGTTAATGCTTACCTGTTGGAGGCTGTATAGACAGAAGCCTCCAAGCTCCCTTTCCCCTATGTTTTTACTCTCCTCCATCTCCATTTCGAGGGGGAAAGGTGGATTGCTCAGTTTTGTCCAAGAACTTGCTAGCTAACATAGGCCGAGGACAGATAGTAACTCAGGCAGTAACTAAAACAAGGAGGAACACAGCAGATGGACAAAAGGCAATGCATATCCTTAGTCTGCTTTACTCCTGGGGACACAAAACACTGAACAGCTCAATAGCTTAAAACCTCAGCAACTGAACAGTTTCTTAAATATTCATTTTGCAGATATGCTCCAGCATAGACACTGTAGGTTCGCTAGATCTCAGAACCCTCTACTAATGCTTGCTTTTGATTCTGGCTTGTGATGCATTAATTTCTTTTCTGAAAGAGTGGATGTTTATAGGTGTGCAGAATTTTTCCTCTCTTCAGATGAGCTATGACTAACTTCAGTCATAAAGTATTCCCCAAGCATTGCTATTGTACAGTGAAGGCTTCATCCTGTTTCTTTTTGGCTTACTTTCAACTGAACTGGAGAGAGACCATGAATTCCAGCAGCACAATTCCAGAAAGGAAACCTTGTATAACATGAAGTTACTAGATGAAAATCAATCAGCAGCGTAAAGGCAAGTGCAAACCACCAATGTGGGATGGTGGTCAGGCACCTCGGGAAAGCTTCTCTTTAAAATGGCAGAGGAAAGTGCATTTCCCCAAATGAACTCATGTAAAGAGCAGCAATAAGCATCATAAAATCTGCCTTCAGTAAGTGAACAGAAAATGTATGCCACAACTCAGAGGTTATAAGAAAAATCAGTACTAACGGGTTAATGTCATATACTATATTTCTCAAAGAAAACAGTGGAAATAAAAATAATTCTCACAACTTGCACATTTGGAATTTGAAGCCTCAGTTACACTAAGTAATACATGCATTAAAGGCATTTTTAATGACCTCCCATACCCAAGTTCTGTACAACTCACTTGTTCACCTTTTATGTGCAGGGCTCCAGAATTATAACTCTGTTCAATTCCTCTGACTTTAGTGAGGAAAAATCTGAAAGGGTTCCCTCCATTCAGCAAATCCCAGGTATCTTGTGCTTCACTGGGTGCTCCACACCACTCCTCAGACTTCTGATTCCCTGCTAGCTTGTTATTTTGGTGAAAATCTGGAGGATGCTCTTTGGGTGCATCATTCTTCTCTTCTTTCACTGTCACTTTGTGCAACTGCTTTTCCTGATCTTCAGGCTCTTCCTCACTACTAGAGAGACACCAGCCTGAACCTTCTTGGCCAGGTCTCTGCTTCTCTGGTGGGTGTTTTTCTGTGGGAAAACCTTTATCACTGAACTTCAGCGGAGAGGCCTTCCTCTTGTGAGCAGCTTTCCTGGCCTCAGAGCACGGATACTGCGGCACACTGGTGCTGCCTTGGGCAGAGTGCGACAGCGAGGAGGTAGATGGCTTCTCATCCTCAGAAACTTCTTCAGTACTTTCATCACTGCTAGATACTGTCCACTTTCCATGGGCTCCTTCCTGAAGCATGGTCTTGGTGGTGGTGGGGTGGGAGGGAAGAAACAAATAACACAAAACAAAAGCACAAAACTTAACCACATTTGCTGTGCTTAAGGCTATTTTCCCTCCAAACATCCTTTCACCCATCCCTGTAATTTTTTTGTTGTTGTGATTTTATGGGATCTCCAGACTACCTAGACTACCCTAGACAGGCTAGGTGCTACCTTACAGCACAGAAAGGTCGTTTGCTTTTGCACTGAGACACGAATAAACTCTTATAACAGTGGTGAGAGCATAGGAAAAGCAACTAGTGTGTAAACGCGCACAGTGAAGGCTAACTGTGAGAAGAGCACGTGCACAAAAGCACTTTAAAAATAAACGGAACAACTTTCACCACGCGAGTACTTGTTATGTGACTCCCACCACACAGGCGCTCGGCACAGCACGGCTGCCGCCGGGCCCGGTGCTCCCGGCTGTGCAGTGGAGGCCGAAGGCGCCACGGGCGGCAGCAAGTGACAAACGCCCCGGCCACAGCGAGAGCCTCGGGCTCCC